CTGATAATTGCTGGAAATAAAATGACAAATAACACCGTTGCATTTGTGGATGTTTGTCCCATTCTTAAAAAAAAAACACGACAAGGACCGTGGACGTGAATATTATTATGTGGATTTACTGTGAATGAAATAGGAAAGTTGCTAATCAATCATATGGGGGCTTGATTAACTTTCTGGTGGTGGATTATTATAGTAATCACATGAGGCCAAAGAAGCACAGCTACACATTATTTTATGTTCTTGGCTAGAATACTTTATAACCACTCATACCTTAACTCCGAGGCCCATTACTGTGAGAAAGCCAGCCCAGCCTTGCCTTCAAACCCAAGGCAAAGGCTGCTCCTTCCTTGGATATTTATGAATTAGAGAAAATACTTCTGTTAGTTTCTCTCCCTTACCAGGAGTGACAGAGACTGTTGGCTGCTTTTCTCACTAAATTTTGGCTTTCTTTTTTGCAGATCAAAATGGGAGTTTTCCACCATTGAAGCTAAGGTAAACTATATCACATTGCATTAATTGATCACTTACTATAGACTTTTCTTTTGATGTTGTCTAGAAATTTGCATCTCATTCCCTTTTGTCCTTCTTTGCAGAGCAGGTGGTACGAGCTTGTCTGATTACTGCTTCAATAATATCTCTATCTCTGTAGTGTGTTCAAGGTCAAACATAAAACTTCAAAATGGGCATTGATGATGTCTTGTGCCTTCCATTGTGATGGCATTTAAGCAGGTATTTCAGGTGGAGCTATAGCTGGCATATGTGTTGCAGGAGTTTCTGCAGCTCTAATTTTGGCACTTCTTCCATATGCTTGGCATTATAAAAGGAAGGTAGTTGAGGCACCGTTTCTTTCAGCAGCATCTGAAGACCGATATGTTCAACATGTACATGGTAATCCTTCCAATTCAATGAATTGTCTCTCATTTTCTTTTTGTCATTTGTCAGTTAAAAAATAATCCTAAGAGAAATATAAGTTTAAATTGAGAAAATTATTTGATAAGAGTAAGTTTCTGAGTAATAGTAGGTATGAGTTAGCTACTTGAATGTATTCAAAATGATCAATGAGACAAACACATCTAGGCAATCACATGGATATTTTGGAAATCATTTGTAGCAGCTGGCTTATTCCCAGCGATACCAAAGATTTTTGCGATACATGTATTTCAAATGGGAAATTTCATATGGTTGTCTCACTTCAGTAATTGATAGTTTTTTCTCATGTGCAGTTTCCGGACATAATTCAGAGAAAACTTTGGAATCGGTTGCTCTAGTTGGTGCTTCTTCTCAGGGCCTTACAGGTATAACTGTGGATAAATCGGTGGAGTTCTCATATGAAGAGCTTGCCAAGGCTACTAGTGACTTTAACATTGCTAATAAGATTGGCCAAGGTGGATTTGGAGCTGTTTACTATGCAGAACTTAGAGGCGAGGTTTGTGTTCTTGCGTCTATGTTCCATCCACAAAGTTTCTTATGAGCTTCACAATCATATAACTATTTAGTCTGTTTTACGTGTATGATGATCAATACCAAATCCTGGTCTTTAAATATGAGGAAAATTTCTTGAACCGATCAGTGAAGATGTAACTTTCAAGTGCTTGTCATCTGACTTGACACTTGTGCGCAAAGTCCAATGCCTGACTCTTTTCTCCTCCCATCAAGCAGAAAGCAGCAATTAAAAGGATGGATATGCAGGCATCAAAAGAGTTCCTTGCTGAACTGAAAGTTCTAACACATGTTCATCACTTAAACCTGGTATTCTGCTTTCCCTATGATAGCATCAAGACACTGGAAATTTTCTGTACATTTTGTATGATAACTTTGCAATGAATTGGTTTTCTATCTGAGGCCTTTAGCTAATGTGGGTCGAGCAAGAGAATTTACTCAGAGTATAATATATCAATCTGTAAGGGCTTAGATAAATTTTAGGAACTTTTGTTGGGCAAGAATTCTAATCAACGTAAACCTGTCTGTAAATTTATTGTCACAAAGTTTCTTTTTCTACTCAGTAAGTAGTTCCATAAAGTGGATTGATCAGTATCTTCTAGCATGCATTAATGTTTTAACTTTATGCAGGTGCGCTTGATAGGATATTGCGTTGAGGACTCCTTATTTCTAGTCTATGAGTACATTGAGAATGGTAACTTGAGTCAACATTTGCGTGGCTCTTCAGGTGAGAAAGATAATGCATCTGCTTATAGGGTATCTAACTTCCTGGCCTCTTTCTGATTTCACAGCTTTTGCTCTCAGGTCTAGATCCATTGCCTTGGTCAACCAGGATGCAAATAGCCTTGGATTCAGCTAGAGGACTTGAATACATCCATGAACATACTGTTCCAGTCTACATTCATCGTGACATCAAGTCGGCGAACATCTTAATAGACAAAAACTTCCGTGCAAAGGTTGTAAAAAGGCATTTACTGTTATTGTAGGCTCTGCAATTTTTCTGTATAATGCATATGTAAAATTAAACTTCCGTGCAGGTTGCAGATTTTGGGCTAACAAAACTGTCTGAATATGGAAGTGCTTCATTGCAGACACGTCTTGTGGGTACATTCGGATACATGCCTCCAGAGTACGCAATTAGTTTCCAAGTTTTATTACATCAGCTCATTCATTACCATAACCTTGTTCATAGCTGTGAATATTAGCATGTTTATCTTGATAATCTGAACCATGCACAAATAAGTTACATCTGGAAAATATTCATTTTTTTCAATTGTATTTGGCTCTGAATAAAGCATTTGTGAACAGGTATGCTCAATATGGTGATGTTTCTCCCAAGATAGATGTTTATGCTTTTGGTGTTGTCCTTTTTGAACTGATATCTGCCAAGGAAGCTGTTGTTAGGACAAATGAATATGGTGCTGAATCAAAGGGACTAGTTGCTTTGGTAAGTTTTTCCTTCCTTGCCTCTACTATTACTTCACCAACAAGTAAAACTCCCAAAACGGTTTCCATCGGCCCTTAACTGATCAAAACTGTACTTAATGTGATGCAGTTTGAAAACATTCTGAGTCAGCCAGATCCGAAAGAAGATCTCGGGAAAATTGTTGACCCTAGGCTCGGTGATGATTGCCCACTTGACTCAGTCTGTAAGGTAAAATTTCCTTCCAGAATGCAGATGCGTTCTCTATTTAGTAATCTTATTTCATAAAACAAAAGCTATGATGTCTTCTGTTGTGGTTGCAGATGGCACAACTTGCCAAGGCTTGCACACAAGAAAACCCTCAACTGAGGCCAAGCATGAGATCCATTGTGGTTGCACTAATGACACTTTCATCTTCAAATGAGGACTGGGATGTTGGTTCATTTTATGAAAGCCAAGCTGATCTAGTCAATCTAATGTCTGGGAGGTAGCAAAGCAACGTAAGTATTAGATGACATGCCAAGACAAGTGATCTCCAGAGAACAAAGTCCTAACTTCCCCGCTTTTGGATTGTCTGTCAAATCATCTGCAATCATCTGTAAATAAGCATTGCACAAAGATGATTTTAATATCTTGTTTTCACTAGGAAAAAATGGGCAGCAGAATAATATAGAAAAAACGACATTGTATATTACTTCATATCAACTTGTTCCATTCCAGTATAAATGTCAACATTTTGGTTTGCCTTCATTCACCTTGAACCTTGCTGATTGTATGTTGTTGTCGTTTGACAAAGAAATTCATGTTCTTCAGCCGTATTTTGTTTGCTTTCCCTCTCTCTGCTGCACTATTGGACTTTGCATTTTCTGCTCATGTTTTCTTGGACCGACCCAAAACAAGAAAGTTTACTTTGTTGGGCTCTCGTATATTCCTTATCTTTTTGTCCTGAAATTAGAATATTTTGATGGAGTCGGCAAACAACACGTTCTCTAGTTAGTCTTTGCCTGCACTAGAAATGCTCCATTTGTCTAATTCTGAGCTCACCTAAATGTCAAATGGATGACCAAAAAACCAAGACAGATTTCAGCTTATTGTATTAAATATATTACAAACCAATAGTGTCCTCCACTAATCAGCCCAAAAGTTGGAACATTAAAATCACATCAATTGATGCTAGTGCGCCATATCTAATCGTCGTCATTGACTCATTGACATGCTAATCTCCGTGTTTTGAAAAATAATAATCCCAGTGGAACTTTTTCATTTTATATAATAATTCTCTAGAATAATCCGTGTGCAACTTTTGGTTAATTGTCCACGCTGAAAATGACATGCTCATGAATCTAATTAGCTCAATTTAGTAAATGCTTGAAAATGACATATTTAACCAAAATATGAACATGTAAACATAAAATTTTAGTTTTATAAACTTTAATCATTTACGAAATTTGGTTTTTAAAAGAAATGATATGTAACGCGAGAGAAAGAGAAATCAGTAATGATATTTATTGGCCAAGTGGGAAGAAAAACACAAACTGCATTAATCTAAGGTAAAGCTCCAAAATCAAATGTCATGATCATTGATATTTACCAACAACCAACCATATCTGCGAGCATGACCTCAAAAATATCATTTTGGCTGGTGTGTGCGACTGTGACATTTGTTGGGCCCTTGTTAAGCAAATTCCAGACGTCCATTTCTGGTTGCACCCAAGAATCACAGCCCTGTAGTTCTAGTCAATCAGTTGCCGCTGGCCTTATCCATCTGTGTCCGAGCTGTCTCCACTTTAACCATCACAGCCCACGTAGCAGACGCTCTATTCACGCGTCCACAACACATCACTGGGTCTCTTACGTTTCCGAAAACAAAACAAATAAAATAAAATAATCATTCATCTCCAACGACTCAACTGTTGTCGGCGTCGTACAGCCCCACCAACTGCTCAATCCAATTGGTCCGTGCCCTCCACGTTCCACAACCGCGCCTGGAAAAACACCTGTTGCCATTGTAGAGTCCGGACACTCACAAAAAAAGTAGCCGTTGGACGTCCCACTTGGCACCTTGCCGACATCGAAGGCCAAACGACGTAGTTAATTACGACTAATCTTGACTACATCCAGCAAGCACAACGACAGAGTAAGAAGGAAGCCAACAAAACTCAAACCAACCTCCTTCCTCTCACCCATCCCATCATAACCACCGTTTTTCCCAAATTCCAAGCTCCTCTCTGTGAATTCTCTTTTCCACGAAAACGAATTCCACTGTTTGGGTATATTGATATTTTTCCTGTGTCTGTCTGGAAAGGGATCGTTCTTGTAGTTATTTTATTCCCACTCATCTGTTTCTCAGTGGTTCTGATTAAAAGTTGCAAACTTGCGTAGTGGGAGGCACAGTTAGAGTAGCGTGAGTTCTGGGTTTCCTGCAGAGGGCGTGGGAGGAATATCTTGCTTTCTTTCATGGGAATTTGAAGCAATTCCAACACTCCCTAATTCAACTTACCGATCCGTAATCCCAGGTTTGCTTTTCTTTGTCTCTCACCTTCCATCTTTGTTTTACTTCTAGGGTTTTCTGTTGGCCAAATTGTGAAGTTAGCTCTCAGGTTTATTAACTATTTTATTGAGCTTCAAATGTCATGTTCTTTTTGTTAAAAAAGAAAAGAAATTTGTTTGTTTAACTTTGTGCCTTGGTGTGTCTGTTGGTAATCATATTGAAATTACGTGAGGTTGAACTGGTTTTTAATTGTATCTGTGTGTTATTTTGCGGAAAGAAGATGGTTTTCCCGGGAATTATAATTTCCTAGAAACAAGTATGGTGTAAAGCTTCAGGTACCATGTATCTCATGGTCATCGAATGATTATTTGATCATTTTGTGACTAACTTATTTGTGATTGTTTAAGACTTTAGAATTCATTACTTTTCTGTGAACAAAGGGGAAATTTTATGAGCTGCCAGTCGTCGAATACATTTGTGTTACCATATTGAGATTGTATTGTTTTGCAATTTCATCAAATGCCAATGGTTCCAAGGTTGTAAAAAAATTGCGTTTGATTGGAAGTAATACCAGTTTTTGTAGTTTCCTTTGTTAGATATTGTTAGTAATGGTTTACATAATGTGGATATTATGTGTGGATATTATTCCGCTAATGTAGATGTTCATTCTCATTTTACAGGCTATTGCATTTTTGTTTCTGGAAGATATAAATGGCTACACTTGGAGATTTAGGGGTTGGAGCAGCCATCAATATTCTTAGCGCATTCCTTTTCTTTGTAGTATTTGCCATTCTTAGGCTTCAACCCTTCAATGATAGGGTGTACTTTCCAAAATGGTATTTTAAGGGACTAAGGGAGAGTCCCACACATTCTGGTGCATTTGTGCGCAAGTTTGTCAATCTGGACTTTAGGTCATACATAAGGTTTTTGAACTGGATGCCAGCTGCATTGAAGATGCCAGAACCGGAGCTTATTGATCATGCAGGATTGGATTCTGCAGTGTACTTACGGATATATTTGATAGGGTAGGCTGCAATATTTTTCTCCTATTTCCTTCTCTTTTCTTTCAGCATGTACCTACTTTCTTCTTGTATATTTGAACTGCCATGTTCTGCTCTTAATGATGGCATTATGCTGCTTATTCTAGGCTTTTCAGCGATTAAAAATTAATATTACCTTCCACTTGTCTTTCTTATTTGCTTCATTGCTTCCCTATCACATAAACTTGTTGTGCTTTTAATGCAAGAAAAAGGCATGCATTCATAAGCAACCTTACTAAATCCAATCCTGAATAACTATGATTGCAAACTCACAGCTCTCATTGTGAATTCAAGAACTAGTATTCAGTGTTTTCTGTTTTCTGTTTTAATTGAACTCTCACACCCACCCTTCAAAGTTTATATTTCCACACTGTTATCTGCTTTACTTTTCCCCTTTTAAGTATAATGCGTTAGCTTGTGTTGATAATTCTATTCTTCGTATATTCTTGTAGGCTTAAAATCTTTGTTCCTATAGCATTCCTTGCATGGGCTGTTTTGGTACCAGTCAACTGGACAAATAGCACTTTGGATCTAGCAAAGCTAGCCAATGTTACTTCCAGTGACATTGATAAGCTCTCAATTTCAAATGTCCCAGATAAATCACAAAGGTATTTTTGACACTTATTCTTTCTACCCACCCTTTTCTCTTGCTTACAAACAATGACTTGTATTCTTTCTAGATATTGATGACACTTGTTTTTTTTTGGATATTGGGAAACATAATAAATAATCTCACGTTAGCATTTATTTGTATTATTTGTTTTTTTAGTCTTATTCTATCTATATCTGGTGCTATTATTTATCAATCATTACGAATTAATTCTGGTTAAGTGTTCTCATCTTTCTTATTAACATAAGTTAAGTGTGATAATCTTGCAACTCTAATTTCCCACATTAGAAATCCTCCTTTCTTGCTTATTAATCTTAAATTTTCATTCCTAAATATCCATGAATTTTACTCTCTTGGTAACTTTACCATTTTTGTACAGCACATGCCCCTTTTGGATACTTAGAAACATAAAAAGTTCTGTCATGCATATGCATTTGTATTGTTTTGTTTCTTTATTCTTATTTGATCTGTACTTTTGCTTTTAGAAACATTTAGTTAATTGGACAATACTTTTTTTGAGAAGAGGATATCAACATGTAAATTTTGTTCTTGTTAGTATACTCATTTTTCGTATTAACGTAAAGTAAGTGCACTAATCACGTGATTCTATTTTCTCAAATTAAAAATTCTGTAATTTTGATTCTGCATTCTTATTTGATCAATGTTGTCATTTGTGTTATTGACATCTAATTCAGCTGGAGATTATCTATCATTCTAAATTTGATTCTGGTCAAGTGTACTCATCTTTTTTATCAATATATAAGTGCAATAATAATGTGATTGTATTTGACAGATTCTGGAGTCATATAGTGATGGCTTATATCTTTACCTTTTGGACATGCTATGTGCTGCTGAAGGAGTATGAGACTGTTGCCAAAATGCGGTTGCATTTTCTTGCAACAGAGCAGCGCCGACCAGATCAATTTACGGTGAGATTGACTCCATGCCTCAGTATATTAGTTCATGTTATTGGATAGTTAAATAAAACATATGACTTATTGATCAATTTACCGTGGTACTTTCTGTTTCAAACATTGGAGGTTATTTGGTGGCTTTGGTTTCCTTTCTTGAAATCTGTTAAAATGATCAGTGTTTACTTCTATAGCGTTTTTCCTTTTGTGATAAGAATGGTAGCTAGAGGTATCATTTGGGCTTATTTTATGTGATAATTTTGAAATGCTACATGAATGCAAACAACTCTTTTTGATTATCTACCCTGGAGAAGAGAAAAAGAGAGGATAAAACAACTTTGTATCTTATGAATTTGTTTTTTCTCAGGTCCTTGTTAGAAATGTTCCACCAGACGCAGACGAATCTACAAGTGAGCTTGTGGAGCACTTTTTTCTGGTCAACCATCCAGATCACTATCTTACACATCAGGTTTGTTCCGTAAAAAAGCAGAACACACATTATTACACAGTATAAAATGTAGCTTAGTGTTAATAATAGATTTCTGATATTCTTACGTGAAGGGAAATAAATTTTTTTGAGTCAAAACCAACCGTGCAGTCTATGCGTACTTTTCTATAAATTTATTTGCATCAAGAATTGCATAGATAACTTTTTATTGAATAGTTAGTCACTGATTATGTAATATAGATACTTATCTCTACTTGCTTGAATAGTATAGACTTGTGAAACATCTCCATTTAATTAATCGTTAACTGCACATGCGTCTCCAATTATTTCTATTTAAAGAAGTATATTATATAATTTAATCCATGTTAAATATTACATGCAGGTGGTATACAATGCCAATAAACTTGCGAAGTTGGTAAAGAAGAAGAAAAAGATGCAGAACTGGCTTGTCTACTATCGGAATAAAGTTTCTAGAAGTAAAAATTCAGCAAGGCCCTTAATGAAGGTACTTAAAATGCACTCATATTTAGGAGCTAATATGATTCCAGTGTTTAGAGTTACTAATTAATTTATGCTTTAACCTGGCTTGTGCTTGTGTTACTCACAGACTGGTTTTCTTGGGCTTTGGGGAAATAAAGTTGATGCAATTGAATATTATGAAACTGAGATTGAGAAATTGTCAAATGATGTAAGTACCGGTCCTTGAGTTCTTAGTCAAATTTCTAATTCCCGTGGTCTTGGTTGATTTGAATGCATTATTTTTTTCTTTCTCAGATAGCTGAAGAAAAGGAGAGGGTTGCAAATGATTCCAAGTCTATCATGCCAGCTGCCTTTGTTTCCTTTAAAACTCGATGGGGTGCTGCTGTTTGTGCACAAACTCAACAATCCAGAGATCCAACTATTTGGTTAACCGAATGGGCTCCAGAGCCACGTGATGTATATTGGCCAAACCTGGCAATTCCATATGTTTCACTCTCAGTTAAGAGGCTAATTATGGGTGTTGCATTCTTTTTTCTCACCTTCTTTTTCATGATCCCGATTGCATTTGTACAATCTTTTGCAAGCCTTGAGGGAATCGAGAAAGCAGCTCCATTCCTAAAACCCATTGTAGAAATGTGAGTTATCTTAGCCTTGTACTTTTTGACTTCTTATCTGGCTTCCTTTACTAATTACCATATCACCTGATTAATATGCAGGAAGTTCATTAAGTCAGTCGTTGCAGGTTTTCTACCTGGGATTGCACTGAAGTTGTTTCTAATCTTTCTGCCAACCATATTGATGATCATGGCTAAATTTGAGGGCTTTACATCTAAGTCTTCCCTTGAAAGGAGAGCCGCATCTAGATACTATCTCTTCATTTTTGTGAATGTATTCCTTGGGAGCATTGTTATTGGAACAGCGTTTGAACAGCTAAATTCTTTCATTCACCAATCAGCAACTGAGTACGTAGTTCTTCAAGATAATTTGTTTCAATATACTGTTCAGTGTCTCTTATTTTTGGCTATGCGATCATATTTGCATGTCTGGATTCATTTGTATGCTGATGCTCTATAAATAGCCGTGTTTTTGTGTGCAAGGGGTTATAAATTGATTTGTGTGGCTTCAGGTGTTATGGCTTTAATGGATAAGTTATTCTAAAATAATCCATAAAAAGTTGTCGCTTTTAAACAAGATATGCATCTTCCATCCAAGGCAGTTTTGAAATTACAGTTCTGTGTTAAACCATAGAGGATTAAGGTAATTCATTGAGCCTTTCTGACTAGGAGAAATCTTATTCTAAAATTTGTGTAGAAAACCTGGTGTTGAGGTGGTTTTCAGATAGAGATATTGTGTTTACAATTCAAACTGTATCAAAAATTCCTAAATCTATAGTACATATAGGGAGAACCCAAGTCAACGCTTATCAAAGTTCCAATTTTGCACTTATTACATTAAGTGCTTTTTAACAATTAAGGATATTATTGTCAGTTATTTTCTTTCTTTCTGGCATGATTCAGATCATGAAAATTAAGTTTTTTTTTCTTTTTTCTTTCTGCAGGATTCCAAAAACAATTGGTGTTGCAATCCCAATGAAAGCAACTTTCTTTATGACATATATAATGGTTGATGGATGGGCTGGTATAGCTGCAGAGATTTTGATGTTGAAACCACTGATAATATTCCATTTGAAGAATTTCTTCCTGGTTAAGACTGATAAGGATAGGGAGGAGGCAATGGATCCAGGAAGTATTGGTTTCAACACTGGAGAGCCTCGTATACAGTTCTATTTCTTACTAGGCCTTGTGTATGCTACAGTGACACCAGCCTTACTTCCGTTCATAATTATCTTCTTTGGCCTGGCTTATGTTGTTTTCCGTCATCAGGTAAAGAGTTGGTATATTGATTATAAAATTTCACAGACGAAGGATTACATTTATCTATTTTTTTTGTGTGGGAGATATCACTTTCTTTAACCCATATGCTTTTTATTCTCTGCATGCAGATCATAAATGTTTATAACCAGGAGTATGAAAGCGCTGCAGCATTCTGGCCTGATGTCCATGGTCGTGTTGTCTCTGCATTGATTATCTCACAACTCCTCCTTTTTGGATTGTTGAGTACAAAAAGAGCTGCTCTGTCAACACCGTTTCTCATTGCACTTCCAGTGCTGACCATATGGTTCTATAGGTATTGCAAAGGTCGTTTCGAACCTGCATTTGTGACATATCCATTACAGGTAATTTCACTTGTTTCTTCTTTAAGCGAGTGTAAAAACTTATTGCCTCTTGAAGTTGGTTTTTATACTATGCGAATGATCTCTCTCTCTCTCTCTCTCTCTCTCTAAGATTACTAATGACAAGTATCATCAACGTTTAATTATTTGTTTTTCTGGGTTTAGGAAGCAATGATGAAAGATACTCTGGAACGTGCAAAAGAACCAAACTTGAATTTGAAAGGCTATCTTCAGAGCGCATATGTCCATCCAGTTTTTAGAGATTGTGATGACGATGAAGACAATGAGTCGATTGACAAGGGTGAAAATGAGAGCGTGATTGTGCCCACAAAACGGCATTCTCGGAGGAATACCCCAGTACCTAGCAGAATGACAGGTGGATCCTCACCATCTCTGCCTGATGTTGTTGAAGCCTATGCACAACCTTAAATTGCAAGTCGGAAAATTATATTTTAGGTGTAAATTTACAATGTTGCACAAGTGGAAGATTAAATGAGCCAATAGTGAGGCATATGGGGAGGCCAGAGAGAGAGAGAGAAGAGAGCTGAGCATAGGCTCTGGTGAGCCATGCCAGCATGAGTTTTGGTTATTCATTGTCCGAAGGAAGAAGCAAACCAGAAGAGGATGAAAAGGGCAATGGAATTGTGTAATTATGTGATTTTGAACAGCTTCCTTTTCTTATCTTTTTGTTTCTGTTGACAAATCGTGTAATTATGCAAGGAATTCTGATTTTGAATTGGTTTGTAAATCGACGGATCTACTTAAAAAGCATAATACAGTGAACCTTGTCCTCCTTACCATTGTAACCAAGCCCTTGTTCGCTTATGCTTACCCCAAAAAAACAAAAAGTTGCATTCTTGAATTCCCGCGTGCTCCCTGCTTCCTCCTCAATCTTGCTTTCCCCTTCTAAGAAGGCAGGAGGTGAAGAAGGAAGGTAGTTGGCATTCTCGTAAATGAAATTTGTTTCCTCCTCGATCTTGCTTTCCCCTTTAAAGAAGGCAAGAGGTGAAGGTAGTTAACATTCTCGTAAATGAAATTTGTTCCTTTTTATTTTATTTTTAGTAAGTACACGAATTTACAAACTAAAAGAAGAAGGGCTAAACAGGAAATAAAACAAATTATGTCTCGTTTGGTTAATGGAAAAGATTTGATAGGGAATACTTTCTCATGTCTTTTCCATGTTTGGTAATGCTTGAAAAGTAACCAGGAAACACCACTTTATTTCCTTTCCCATGTTTGGTTTGTGTAGGAATGTAAACCAAAATTTGTTTTATTTTCTAATTATACCTATACGAAATCAAATTAAAAAAATAATGCATTTAATGCTATATTGTAATTCTAAATTGCTAATAGAGACAAAATGTCCATGAACAATTTGCATTGGATGTTGGTTTATTTTTACAAACTTTGTCATGAGAAGGGAAAATGAAACCCAAGGGGGGGGGTTGAGTTACAATTTCTTCCCTATTTTCCCATGTAACAAGTAACCATTTCCCATGACTGAACTTATCAAATATAGAAAAACAATTGATTTCCCATCTCCAAATATCCTCTCACATGAACCCAAAAGGCCAAACATGCCAAATACAATTAATGTACGAATCAAAATAAGGGATTATCGTATTTGCTTGAAAGGGCAATAAAGGAATAGAACCAGACGCACACAGGAAAGTTTTGGTTTTCCACCAAACGCACACGGGTACTTACCTCTTTCCTAGGCGTTTCAGGAAACGCTTAACTTTCTATAAATATTCTTCGTCAAAATTTACCGCCCCATCTTTCGCGTTCTCTGTTTGGCGTTTCTCCTTGTTCGAGCTTGCGGATCCGTCTGTCACTCACAAACCCCAGATTTTAAGAAATTCGATAGCTTCAACAATCAACGCCTCTCAAAACCAGTTTGAGCTGAATATTTGGCTCAGGATTTTCTGTCATCTCGTAGGTCAGTCCCGTTCGAATTCGCCTCTCGCCGGTTTATTGGAATTCTTGTTCTTCTCCGATACTGTCTTTTTCCTTTTTTTTGATTTTTTTTTTCTGGGCACTTAAAAATAGAAAATAAAATAAAATCTGTTATCTGAAGAAGAAAATTGTCAAGGCCCTAATGCATGCATGTTTGTTAAAGGGACGGGCTCCCTCCCTAGCTATCTTTGTTTCCCTTGTACTGCTGTTGGCTGCGGCCTTCATCAATGCAGTGTCCTGTTTGATCAAGAAAAAAACAGAAGAAGAAAATTGTCATGCTGGGGTGGGATTGGATCATGGTCTTCTGGGATGGGATTGATTGAATCATGGCTTTATGGGATGGGTTTGAATCAAGGGTTTATGGGATGGGATTGAATTAACCTGAATTGTGGGTTGACTTAAGTCAACTGAGGTCTTTGTTCTGCATTGACTCAAATCAAAACAGATTGGAAATTATACAAATACAATGTTGCATGGTGCAATTGACATTGTTTTTCATTATGTGAACACAATTGACATGTGGTTGTGTTGATTATGTTAATCTGCACAAGCTATTATAGACTGTTAATTTTGAATACTACTACAGTACTAGTTACCTAAGAATCTCTTTTGTTTTATAGGCAAGTGAGAATGGAAGTTTTGATAGTAGAACAAGGAAGGCTGGGGCAGTATAATGATAACAAGATCCGTACACCTAAGAGAAAACGTTCAAATTTCCTGCATCATGGAAAGGAAGAAGGATCCTCAAATGGCAAAAGGATTTCAAAAAAGCGAAGTGCCTCCTCAAATCTGGTAGAAAGTTGTGAAAATGAGTTTTCAATGGATGAATTGGAAGAAGATGAAGAAATTATGTTTTTGATTAAGGCACGAACGCGGAAAAGGAGAAGTGTTGACTGTGAAGTGATGGGAAGAGGTTCCTCAAAGGATGAAAGAGTAAAATATGAGTTAAGGAATGCTACTAGCAAAATTTCATCTTCTTCACCACCATCTTCATCTGGTTCATCATGCACTTCGAAATGTACGGAGGTATTATATCTCTATTCATTCATCTCCCCTGGAGTTGTATTTTATTTTATTTATTTAAGAAAATAAATTAGTCTGACAGAAAATTTTGTATTTCCTTCTTAAAGCAGGATAATAGAGAAGTTTATTTGAAGTGTCATCATTGTATGAAAGAGGAGAAGAAAACCATAGTTTCCTGCTCCAAGTGTAAAAAGAACTCCTATTGCGTCCGCTGTATCAAGCAATGGTATGTATTTTATACAGATTCCTCTTTTTTTTTTCTTTTTTTGAATTTGCAATAGTCATTTTAATTGTATCATGGTTTCTTTCTATTGTTCTTATAGGTATCCTCACATGAAAGTAAAGGAAGTGAAGGACCTTTGCCCATTTTGCCGCAGAAATTGCAACTGTAATGCATGCCTGCACTCAACTGGGGTGATTGAGGTTAGTTTCCCTATTATTACACAGATTGTTTTCTATCCGTTGCTCCCTCTGATAAAAATTGCCATTGACGTTTCTTTTTTTCTTTTGTTGGGAACTTTAGACACCAAAGAGGGATATAAGTGATCGTGAGAGGGCTCAGCATCTGGAGTGTTTAATTTCCAACCTGCTTCCATTTTTAAAGCAAATTTCTCAAGAACAAGTTCAAGAGATAGAGATTGAAGCTAATATTCGAGGTACAATATTAAATATTTTCGGCTTTGGTTTCAATTTATTTTGAAGTTTTAGACACTAACAAAAACTGTTCTGGCAGGACTTTCACCTTCCGAATTTGAAATACCACAGACCCTTTGTTTCAATGATGAGCGTGTCTATTGGTAAGCATCTGTACTTTACTAGACATTAATACAATATGATTGTTTGGTCACTGTCTAAGTGTTTCTTTTTATGCTTGGAACAGCAACCATTGTGCAACTTCAATCATTGATCTACATCGAAGCTGCCCAAAATGTTCTTATGAACTTTGTCTAAGTTGTTGCCGAGAAATTCGCCAGGGATGCCTCTTAGACCGTGGAGAAGTGAAATTTCAATATAGGAGTAGGGGTTATGATTACATCCATGGTGGAGACCCATCACCTGACTGTTGTCCCTTAGAAGCTTCAGAGGACCATATTGAGCCTTTGACTGAGTGGAAGGCAAACGATGATGCTACTGTTACTTGTGCTCCGAAAGAAATGGGTGGCTGTGGTGATTGCATGTTGGATCTTAAGCGAATCCTTCCACCTGACTGGATCTCAAATTTAGAAGTCAAAGCAAAACATTTATTAGAGATTTTCCGAACAGAACATTCTACTTTCAAGCATGATTGTGCTGAAACAAGAAAGGATTCGTTACTAAAAGCAGCTTCTAGAGAGGATTCTTGTGACAACTTCTTATTTTGTCCAGATTCAAGGGGCACTCTGCAAAAGGAAGGGCTTTTGCGCTTCAAAGAGCATTGGGTTAATGGTGAACCAGTTATTGTCAGAAATGTGCTTGAACAGGCAAATGGATTGAGCTGGGAGCCAATGGTCATGTGGCGTGCTTTAAGTGAAAATATGGATACAGCTAGTACCTCACAGTTTTCAGAAGTGAAGACCATCGATTGCCTGGCGGGTTGTGAGGTGAGGTTCTCTTACCAGTTATTACTCTATGCACTCTTTTAATTTTCTTGCAAAAAATATAAATTATTTGGCATTGCATTTGTTTGAATATCTATAAGTTCCTTTTCAAATCTACTTGTTTTGTAGTGTGGTACACCAATCTGATTTGTTATGTGGGTTAACTTTTATATTTTTATTCCATATATTTTCACACTTCACAATCTTGTTCCTGCCTGGACCTGTGGCTGCTAGGAGTTTGGTTTAAAAGTCTTCCGTCTCCCTCCCACACACTTTTTTCTCAAGTTTTTTCTTTTCTCTTTTGACTTGGTTTTCCCTACCCATGCACTTCTAATGCTGATTTGTGAACTTTTTCAGGTAGAAATCAATACTCGTGAATTTTTTAAAGGATACACCGAAGGGAGAATGTATAATAATTTATGGCCAGAGATGCTTAAGCTGAAGGATTGGCCCCCTTCTGATAAGTTTGAGGACCTTTTGCCCCGCCATTGTGATGAATTTATCAGTGCCTTGCCATTTCAAGAGTACACGGATCCTAGAGCTGGTATTCTCAACCTTGCTGTTAAGTTGCCACCAGGTGTTTTGAAACCAGACATGGGCCCAAAAACGTATATTGCTTATGGGCTTATGGAAGAGCTTGGAAGAGGGGACTCTGTAACTAAACTTCATTGCGACATGTCCGATGCAGTATGACTTTAAACTATTACTACTCTCTTTTTATTTATTCTTTCTCGTACATGTAATGTCTTTCCCTGGATATTGGTTCACTTTGCAGCGACCCAAAAAAAAAAAGGTTTATGCCGATATTTTGACATGTTATTTCAATTTGTGTAGGTGAATATTTTGACACACACATCAGAAGTACAGCTAAGTGATGAGCAGCAATCTGCAATTTCAAGGTTGAACAAATTACATAGGGCCCAAGATGAAAGAGAGCTTATGGATTGGATGAATTCTCTCAAGGATGGTGGACAACCTGGTCAACAGACACAGGATGGAGAAGCCCTAGAAAACACTCTCTCTCCTGAAATTAACGTAGAATTGAAAGTACCAGAAGATGGAGATGAAGATGAAGATGAAGATGAAGATGAAGATGAAGATGAAGATGAAGATGAAGATGAAGATGAAGATGAAGATGAAGATGAAGTAGAATTGAAAGTACCAGAAGATGAAGATGAAGATGAAGATGAAGATGAAGATGAAGATGAGTTAGATGGGCCCACAACATCCGGTTCTTCCACCACTGAAGTGGCAGAGGAAACTGGTGGTGCTTTGTGGGACATCTTCCGGAGAGAGGATGTTCCTAAATTAGAGGCATACCTGATGAAACATTACAAGGAATTTAGGCACACCTATTGTTCACTAGTTGAACGGGTATGTATTTATCCTCAGTTTTTGTCTAGCCAAATTGTGCTTAAAGGGTGCTGTATATATATATATATATTTATTTATTTTTATGTCCTTATTTTTGTGTGTTCAGGTCATTCATCCAATTCATGACCAATCTTTTTATTTAACATTGGAGCACAAAAAGAAGCTGAAGGAGGAATTTGGTGTTGAACCATGGACATTTCTACAAAAACTTGGAGAGGCAGTATTTATTCCAGCCGGATGTCCACACCAAGTCAGGAATCTCAAGGTCCTATATCATTAGTTATCTTCACGAGTCCACTTTCCAAAGATTTTGTCTTGTTTAACAGTTCCTCTAAAATATTATGTTGTCATCCTGCAGTCTTGTACAAAAGTAGCAGCAGACTTCGTATCTCCTGAAAACGTCCACGAGTGCCTCCGTTTGACCGAGGAGTTCAGACAACTTCCGAAGAACCATAGAGCTAGAGAAGACAAACTTGAGGTAACTACTCTGTTTAACTGTAAGCAATTTTGTTTCACTTTATTTCTTCTCCTAAACTTGTTTGGTCATTCATCTTCTTGGTGGAACAGATAAAGAAAATGATACTTTATGCAGTCGACGAAGCCCTTAAAGATTTGGAAGCCATGGTATCAACTCAAGTTTGAGCGTTAGGAGCTAACTACCCCAACCTGACAACTATGCAATTGTATTTTCTCATAATACTGATGTTGGCTTCTGTAATTTTTTGCTCAGCAACATTTTTGTAAAGTCAAAAAGTTCGTTGGGGTTCTCTTTGCACTCCAAATAAATTGAAGCCAATTATACTTGATTTAAGGCCAACATCTTTACCCTGGATGCCCATTGTTATTGTCACGGTATAAATGTTTCCAACAGATGTTTGAGCTTAAAGGCAAAAGTAGTAGACCAACTAGTGTTAGATTCCTAGCATGAACGTTAGAATCAGATACAATCAAAATTAGAATGAAATGAAACTAAGCTAATATCTACGCAACGAAAATAAGCAAAACATATGTACTCATTGTGAGTTAAGGAAAAGAACTTTTAGTGTTTCGCGAGAACCATATGAAGTGTTTTTTTATTTTTGGTACTTATTTTGCTCAGTATTCCATAATTATGTCTTGATTGAAGAACACCTAATGAAGTTCAACTCCAAAGATTCGATGATCCGAATCGTCTATTTTTAAGTGGATCATCTCTACAAAATAAATAAATAAATTAGATCTATCAAGGAAAATAGACCAACAAAGTGCTTCCTAGAAACACTAGAGTTACCACATTTCTCACATACACTACCAATGTACCATGGAGGTTCGAACTGGAAGATCACTGTTCTACAAGTCAAGGCCCTTTTTCACTATTCTAGATCTCATTAGGAAAATAGTTACCACCTTTAATCAAATGATTTTGTTTCGTATTTTGGTGATTTTTTTTTCACTCAAATGATCTTTACATGGATACCTAAAAAACCGACGATTTGGACAATTAAACTACAATATATAGTGGGTCTTACAAAGACCTCGCTCAAATGAAACCACATTTTCATCTGCAAACGTTTCTTCATGGACCTTACTTTTCCATGAAGACTAAAGTGCTTTTTGGGTTAAATGGTTTTTTAACCATGCAAAAAGCACTTCTATCTATTTTTACCAAAAACTACAAAAAATAAATGAGTTTTTTTTAATTAACCAAAAACACTTTGGGCTAAAATCACTCTCAAATCCAAGCACATCTAAGGGCTCGTTTGTGAGTGATTCTAGATAGGCCAGAATCATTTCTGGGAAGAAGCACCCAATAGCAAAGCCAGGATTTGCCCTTCATAAAATAAAACCTGTCTCTCTTCATAACTATCATGAATTTCATATTTTAAATTGGTTAAATATTAATTTCATCATCTACACTATTAAAGACTTAAAAATTAATAATTTATGTTCCAACATAGAAAAGAAATAGGAAAAAAAACAGAGAGTTCATAAACCGCAATATTTAGGTACCCAACTCATACATAAAAAATGAGGAAAATACAAGAGGAAGAAAAAGAGAAAGAAATGTTAAAACTTTAGGAGTTTTTAGTGCACATATCATAAACTAACCTAGAAGATTTAAGGGAGATGAGTAGAAGGGAGATCAAGAAATTTTATGGTTAATTTGTGGACAAAATGAACCTAATATATATATTTTTTTTTTTAAAGGGTAAATATCCTAAAACTAATCTAATATATTATAATATCATATATCATATATAATATACAAATAGAAGAGGTAAAAATGGAGTGAGGGCCTGGGACCACACTGGTCCCATGTTGGCTCCGCCCCTAGAAGGGTCTCCCATGTGCTTCTCCAGAAAATCACTAAAAGTGAAGTAATTGTAAAGAGAAACATATCCCATGTGATTCTTCATAACATCACTAAAAGTGATTATTTGGATAAATGATTCTCCATAAAAGTGATTATTGACCTATCCATAATCACTCTTAAACGAGCCTTAAGTTGTTAATGAAAAGTCTTATGCAAGTGCTTCTACATGAAGTACTTTTGCTCATAAGCACCTCTCCAAAAAGCGATTTATGACTCGCAAGAAATTTTGAATTGTTTTACCAAATGCAGTTAGAATTTATCAGGAAGTGCTTTTAGCCATTGCAAAAACACTCCCAAACATGCCCTAAGTAAAATATTATGTCTTATCATTTACAAATAAAATGACAAACTCGATCATATATTTTCCAAATTTTCTCAAAACTTTTAAAAACAACTTGCATGCATCACACACATAAACACCAACACATCTATAAATTTTTGGATGCACACCGGTATATACCTTAATATGGCACAAATCATGATATTAGGGCCCATCTGATAACGTGATTAATTGTTTTTTTTTAAATTCTCCTTCAACTCTATCCCTGGAAAAAAAAAGATCATAAAAAAAACAAATCATATATTTGATTAGCATCATAATCTTTGTAGTTAGAGTCCATCTTGCTCATCTATTTTTGCCAAAGTTAGGATGGGATGGGGAAACGCACAAGTATAGGGGTTCGAACTCAGAACCACTTGGAAGCACACTAAAGACCTTGTTTATTTATTCAATTAGAATTAGATGGCTACTTCGTATTGGAAAAATACTTTTTACTTGCATGAAGTAGTGGAAGAAGCTAATTTTAAAATATATATTATTTGCATATATGAACTTAACTAAATTGGTTAGAGCTGATATGCCCCTTTCTGCACTCGAGTTCGAATTTCCTAAAAAAAAATACATATATATTATTTGAAAAAAAATACATATATATTATTTGAAAAAAGAAAAAGAAAAGTAAAAATCTCATTATTTCTTTCTTCTTTCCTTATGTTTTAACATGAATCATAAACAATAGATAATTATAAAATAATAAATAACAAAGTTCAAGAGAAAAATTGCTTCCACAAAAGAAGCTTCTCCTATTGTGCAGGTTCCTTACCCATAATTACTAGCAGCCCATGAATAGCATCCTTTCTCAAACAATGAAAACATCTTTTTAGACTTTTGGAGATCTCAGGCCCTCCACAAGCAATCCACCATGTTTCAAAGCAATAATTGGCGAACTCTTCTATTAGAAATCAACCATGAATCATTGTGTGGAGTACAGTTTTTTGCTCTACAGATCTTCATATCAGTATGCATGCCTAAGCATACCGTGTTTGAAAGCACCAATTGCTGAAACCAGTCAAGACCAAGAGATGAATTGCTTGAGAGCATTGAAACCTTGAAATGCCAAGAGAACCCATCTTCAAGGAAGACCAAACAAAATGGTAGGGTACAAGTCCTTTTTATAGTTAGATCTAGGGTTTCATAGTGTATGTGAAATGACAAATTTGCCCTTACTTTAGAATCCAATTAAAGAAGTTGAATGAATCATGGCCATTCATTAGCTATATATTAATCCAATATTTCAAAAGTCCATCCAAATCCCACGTTGCCGTGTCCTCAACCAACAAAGTTTAGAACTTTTCTGTCAATTGTAATTGTTGTGATAAGGATGCATGACACAATCCTTCCTCCTTCACACACAGAGTCCCAATATTCAAAACTTCTCTAAAAAATTACAATCAGTAAGTAATGACAATCAAATCTACCTCTAAAACTTGTAAGAAAGTAAGATGATTATGAGGAGAAAAAAAATTTTGAGTTACAAAAATACCAGAATTTTGCCTTACATGTAATACTTTTATTTTTATTATACCAGCAATAGTCTAAACTATCATAAATAAATCTACTCTACAGGACTAAGGATTCAAACTTGAGTGCAAGAGGCTGATTGCCTTCACCAACTAGCCTAACCCACATTGCTACACATGACAACGTTAGAAACCCACAATAATTCTATACTGAGGGCTCTATCTCTTAACCGATGGATCAAATAAGAGATATGACCTCATCTAAAGGCCTTATTTAAGGCTCTCACTATAGAATGACTCTAGAAACCCAATTACATTGAGCTGGGGTTCATTCATGGTCAATTTGCTAAAATGCTATAATGAGGAGCTTAGAGCGAGGGGGTTGTTTGAGGGGTCCAATCCTACCATAAATTTTTTTTATAAAGAAATTATTAGACTTAAAACATTTTAAATGAACCCCAAACAACCCCCTCACTTTTAGCGAGTAGTTACATGATGAGGGTGTCATATATGGACCATAAATGTAGACCTTCATATTAGCCTTATGATTCATGTGAGTAGTAATTTTGTTTAAGTTTAATGAAATGATCTTGTGATTAAGTTTAATGAAATGATCCTATGGCTAATATAAAAGTTCACATGAAGAATCCATATATGAGACCCTCACTACAGAATTTCGCTACTCTAAGCTCTTCATTGCAGCAGCTCCCGTCAATTTGCCCAATTACAGTGGGCTGTGGTCCATTCTAGTCAATTTACACTGGGCTAGTTTTCTTCTTGGTTCAGCCCAAAACCCCCAGAAAACCCAACAAAGCAAAACGAGCGCCAATAACAGTTGCAGCACGTTATCTCATCCATTGTTCTCACTCTCAGCCACTCTCACTCTTCTCTTCTTCTCCTATTTCAGCTTAATGCGAAATGAGTTCTGGTCACGCGCAACTACATCTCCAGCTTCAAGCACTTCCACCAGCTCCCTTTCGCTATGGCTCAGTTCTATTTCCTTCGCACCCAATTCAATCCAAGAGAATCGGAAACAGCAGTTTCTCTTTGAGATTGTACCATAACGGCTCTAAAAGCAGTGTCTTTGGTAGAAAAAGTGGCGTGATAAGAAGCTCAGTGGCTGAGGAAGCCAATCGCGCGGCAGAGCCGAAGAGCAAGCAGCAAGTGACAGTGAAGAGGCCCTACCCTTTCCACGAAATCGAGCTCAAATGGCAGCGTTATTGGGAGGAAAATCAAACTTTTCGAACCCCCGATGAAATTGATACCTCCAAGCCCAAATACTATGTCCTTGATATGTTCCCTTATCCCAGGTCTCTCTATTTCTCACAAAACCTCTGCTTTTCTTTATTTAATATATTTAGAGTGCTGGGTGATTATGAATGTAAAAAAGGTGAAGGCCCAGTTTTACTAAATCGATTTTGGACTGTTACATGCTTTCTTTTTTCTTTCTTCTTATGGCAATTGTGGTTGTGTAGGAACAGAAAATCTGAGACTTTTATGCTAATTTTTATGGATTTTTGCAGTGGAGCTGGGTTACATGTTGGCCATCCACTTGGATATACCGCCACAGACATTCTCGCTAGGCTTAAACGTATGCAGGGTTACAATGTATTACACCCAATGGGATGGGATGCATTTGGATTGCCAGCAGAGCAATATGCAATCGAGGTTTGTTTTTCAGTGCTTTTTCTACGGCTTAAAACTATTTGAATAACTGCAGCGGGTTTGAACAGTTAAATTACTAATTCGGTTGCCTTGTACGTGTTTGACAGACAGGAACTCACCCAAAGATCACAACCTTGAAGAACATTGATCGGTTTCGCTCCCAGGTCATACACTTTTCATTCTTTCGCTGGATGTGTGACAAGTCAGTAAATGAAGAAACTCGGTTAATTGTGACTTAAGATAAACTACAGAACGCTGTATATCTATATTGAGCATTATGGTCACGATTCCATGTAAGACCCCGTTAGAAGTTACATTTTAAAATGAACTTGTTGCTTCAATCTAATGGCTGATAGGCTGGTATATCAGGTTATTAGATAGCATAAAGCTGATGAATTAAAGGGGGTTGGCCCTGTACATTTCTTCTTTCCTCAAGAGTTGTAAATGCTTGTCAATTTTAGTCATGGTAGCTATCCCTGTTTGAAAATAGCTTTGTCGCTCTCTTGGTTTTGGTGGATTGTATTATTTGTTCTCTATTTGTTGAAATTTTGCAATTGCTTTGCAGCTTAAATCATTGGGATTCTCATATGACTGGGATCGTGAAATTTCTACAACGGAACCAGAATATTATAGATGGACCCAGTGGATCTTTCTTCAGCTATTAAAGAGAGGATTGGCGTATCAGGTATAAATGTGATATTGGCTGTAGATAGTTTCCATCAGTTTTCTCCATAAAACAGATAGGATACTCTATTTTTGTTGCATTCAGGCTGAAGTGCCAGTTAATTGGTGCCCTGCACTTGGTACTGTCCTGGCAAATGAAGAGGTGGTAGATGGTGTGAGCGAGCGTGGGGGTCATCCAGTTATAAGAAAGGTTTATACCAGCTTTATGTACTTTCATTTTACAAGCCATCTAAGTTATAATCTTCTAGGCTTAATTCCAAATTTCGGATGGTTTTATAATTTTACAGTGTCATTGTTTATTGCCGAGCAGCCAATGAAGCAATGGATGCTCAAGATTACTGCATATGCTGATCGTCTACTTGAAGATTTAGATGACCTTGACTGGCCTGAAAGCATAAAAGAAATGCAAAGAAACTGGATTGGGAGGTCAGAAGGTGCTGAGATGGATTTTCCTATTCTTAGCAGTGATGGACAGGAAAGAGACACAAAGATTACAATCTATACTACCAGACCTGACACCATCTTTGGAGCAACGTAATAATCATACACAACATTCCTGTATTGTTCGTGAATTTATTATGTTAGATTCACTTGTACAGAAAATCTTTGACACAGTGTCCCTGAATTTATATTAGTTTTATTGGCTGTTTGCTTCCAGCTATTTAGTTGTGGCACCGGAGCATCCCTTGTTGTCATCATTAGTATCAACAGCCCAGAGAAAAAGTGTACGTACAATTGTTTCATCCCCAGTTTTCTCAAAGGTTTCTTATGATGGGTAATTAGAGGGCCAACAATATTCAGGACAGGTGGAGGAGTACACAGATCTTGCTTCCAGAAAGAGTGACCTGGAGAGGACTGAGCTTCAGAAGGAAAAAACCGGGGTCTTCAGTGGTTGCTATGCTAAAAATCCTGTTAGTGGTGAAGCTATCCCTATATGGGTTGCGGACTATGTCCTGGGGAGGTTTGTTTGGCTTATGCTCATTTCCCACATTCTTTACCAGTATTTTTCATTTGGAAGATTCGTGCATGCTGGAGTTGTGACATCTACCTTGGTACGATGTGTAAAATGGGAATTGTGTGTGTTGATTATTGCTCCTGTTATGCAAATATGTTTCATTAAATTGCAATATAACTTAACATGTGAGTTTGTTCCTTACGCAGTTATGGAACGGGGGCAATTATGGCTGTACCTGCACACGACACTCGTGACTTAGAGTTTGCATCAAAATTTGACATCCCAATTCGTTGGGTTGTGATGCCGGATGATAAAAATCTCAGTGGTTCTGGAAAGGCCTATTCAGGTGAAGGCACTGTTGTAAATTCTTCAAATTCAACAGTGGGGCTGGACATTAATGGCCTATCCAGCAAAGAAGCTGCTTCCAAAATCATCGAATGGGCTGATAAAACTGCAAATGGGAAGAAAAAGGTGATTTTTCAGAGCACGGAAGCTTATGTAATTAGAAATTTGGAGTATGCCCACTTGCTCTATGCATATGATATGATCTGTTCTTTCCCTCAAACTTGTCTTTTTCAGGTGAACTATAAGTTGAGGGATTGGCTTTTTGCTCGGCAACGTTATTGGGGGGAACCTATCCCAGTAGTTTTTTTGGATGATAATGGTGAGACTGTTCCCCTACTTGAAACTGAACTGCCCCTTACCCTACCAGAACTGGATGATTTTTCTCCCACTGGAACAGGAGAACCACCACTATCAAAATCAGTTTCTTGGGTATGTTTTCCCTCTTCTGTCCTTTCTTTGTTTTGTCTACTGTTTAGTCTGTTTGTGGATGAGTTCATGCAACTTTAGATTTGTGGTTTTATTAGTCTTTGGTGAACTGCATAACTTTTTCTCGCACGTATTCCAGATGATTTTGTTGCCCTCTGTATTTATATATGTACACCATTGAAACTTATTTTCAGGTCAAAACTAAGGACTCTATATCTGGAAAACCTGCTCGACGAGAGACAAGCACCATGCCCCAGTGGGCTGGTTCTTGCTGGTAATCTGTTCAATACCTTCAATAGTTGATTTCTGTTAGTTAAGGCAGATATGAAATGTTGGAAAGTTTGTTTTAGGTTTTAGATGCTATACTTTTTTTTGACCATGTCAGGTACTATTTGAGATTTATGGACCCAAAAAATTCAAAAGAAGTGGTGGCGAAGACAAAAGAAATGTAAGTAAAGTCTTTCTCTGTGCATGCTTCATTTCGCATTCTATTTTCTTCATAAAAAATAAAAAAAAACAGATAGTGATTACAGTTTTGAT